TCTCTCAGATGTATAATCATCTTAGCAGCCAAGGCTTTTTTCTACAAAAAAATAATAAAGACTGCATTAGATTACAGACATGTAACCTGGTAACCACTTTTAGAAGCTAAAAATAGTCCTAAATATAATTCTAGAACTTATATCGAATAGGTCAAGAACGTAAATGTCAAGACCTAACTACCTAATGTGAAACCTGTTCCACGCGCTTTTATGTTTTGGAGAAAAAAACATAATGTTTCAAGTCTAGACAGTATAATAACAGCTCAGGAATTTGGCTGGAGGCAAAACGGGCGTGTCAAAATAAACATTCTTAAACTATTTTATTACCAAGCCCGTACTTGCAAGCTGGCTTCAAGGAGGAGTCTAGTACTAATGATCATCTAGAAATAGATTTTTAGTGAAAAAACATACCGAGACATCACGTAATATATCAAAAGAAACAAATCTTTAGTAATCAAGACGAGTATAAGTAATTATTTAAACATCATTTCCACTAAAAGAATGTATGGAAATCGCGGCAGCGGCAGTAGAATCAACATACATTTCTCGCAGAAAAAGCAGTCCATCTAACCAGGAGGCAGAGTCGTTTAAGGAAATCCCTTAGTGTATATTTTAAACACGAGAATAAATAAAATTAAATTTTAAAGAAAAAAAACGACGTTTCAAAGTAGAATGGTGACATTACACGCGAGGAAACGCGGCGAGAATGGTACTGAGTGGGGCAGCGAGGGCATTCTGATGTGCGCAGTACACGTCAATTATCGTGTAAACTGTTATGAACCTACCCTATACGGTGAAGAATATTTGAAGCACGACAACAACATGTAGACATGGCCGAGGAAATGTTAAATATTGACGGAGACAATTTTATCGTCAACTTTATGTTTATTTCAAAGGTATATAATAGTCAACAATACAGATGTACACACAGAGAAATCTCGTATGTACACTTTGTTATGGTGAGTATATATATTTTATCCTTGTAAATAATGTTAGGAAGAAAATCCGACAGTGTGTCGGTGTATCGGCGAAACACCAGCCTTATTAAAATGTCAACGCTTATATCCCCTCACTAATCAATATGACATTTAACTTGGAATCGAAAGCGCGCTTTTCGCGACAAAGTTTAAAAATAAGAACACAAATAACTTTGACTCTAGCTACAGTTAAAAGCAAGGTATATTTACCAATACGTTATCCGCTTTTAGCAAAGTGACGTCTATAAACATGACAGACTTTTTCAGTAGCTGTCAAATTTCACATAACCTCTTCGTTTTTTTGTCTCGTCTACTCAAATGCATTAATAAGTATGTACCATAAAAACAAAAGACTACAAAAGGAAGATTAAGTTACCAGAGTACAAAATATTGGCAGTTGCCAGCAACGTCGTTCGAAATTAAAAGAGAATCTAATAATAAATATATTCTATGTCACCCGGGGATAGTGTTGCTTAGCAACAGTGAAAGAATTTTCCAAATCGGTTCAGTACTTTCGGAGCCTCAATGCAAACAAATACACAAATAAATCTTTTTTCTTTATATTAAGTATACAATAGGTTAGATATTTTGTACTTCATTGAATTTGAAATAGAAAACTTAAATTTTTGTATATTAATAAAAATAATGATATTTAAGTTACATATTATTCGTATTTATAGACGTAAATGTTGTTTACTGTTTTATTTTTAGTGTCTTATCTCTTCAAGTTGCCAGTACTCATTTTCAACAAATAATTATAAAACTTGTCAATGTATTAAAACTCTATTGACTGCAAATATAACAAACATAACGATCAGGGATGCCAATATAAAAACTTGAAAAATTATAATTGTTATACGATAAAATTAAAATCAACGATCTTGTTCATACATTGTATTGCTATATATGCGTATTTTATATGGTAAGGTTAAGTAAAAACTTGAGCCATTTGTAACGAATAAAGTTTACAATAAAGTGTTGTGTGTTCTTGGATATCTTGATATGAAAAACAATACCTTATTATAAATTCAGTAAAGTTTATTTTGTAAGCTCAGTTTAAAAATGTAACTTTTTTCTATTATTATCTTAAGATCGACCTTCATTAGCTTCCGAGTTTTTAGTTTGAAATTATTTATGCGCATTACACGAAGTTTACTACTCTTAATGTATAGAATACATTTATGGACGATAGCTTTTTGAACCTTTGTTTAGAACCTTTTTCTTTGTAGCCTATTGATACATCTTTCGTAATAAATTCTAATTTTATGTAAGGCAAACCAAATAACTTACTTGATATAAACATTATTAATAGAACAAAGTAAACCCCATAAACTTATTGCGAATTAGAATTAAAATATCCTTTTCCTATCATTCAGTGGCTAACAGTGGGCTTCTGAGACAAACACCCCGTATAAAATATATTGTTATCTCTATTTTATCAAATTCTATAGTTTCCGGAATCAAAATAGATATTTTGGTCTCAGAAACCAACTGTTAATTATTGCTTTATAATATTTGAAAAACGAAGTTAGTATTCCAACATGTATACGAATTAATCAAGGAAATCTACCAAAATGTTCGAATAACAGGTTTTATAACGATACCTAATAGTCTGTGATTGGTCCGACAGTAGTTGGCAACTGGATTAGTGGCCAGGTGTGGGTCTAGAATGTATAAGATGCTTTATAATGCAACTTTTGACATTATCATTGATAACAGGCAATAAAATGTAATTTGTATCGGAATAAATGGAACTATTAAATAAAATTAATGATATAACACGTCATTGGTTTATTATTAGTTTTTAACACGTATTTAAAAATTATCTTTTATATTTTGATGAAATAAAATTAGTAGAACGTAATTTTAGGATTGAATCAATAAGAACAAGACTTATTAAACATTACTTGTGTCATTTGAAAACCAAACTCATAAACAAGAGTTTGATAAGTGTATTTACTATGAGTGGAAAATAACATGACAAGCGCGTGGAATACTTTTCAAAATCGCAAATACTAAATGTTGCTTGACCCATTCGCTTCCAATCATTTGGTCAAGCAACAAGCGACCAACATTGAAATGTTCATCGTTTTGACATTACAACTGAACTTCTTCATATGCATAAATGTTCTTCGTATCATGTTATAGTGCCCGAGTAGCATTATCTCCTAATAAATTGTGTATGAGTTATACATACTTTCTTTGCACAGTGTATTTGCCCACAGAGATTTAATGCGCAAATAATTAGAAGAGAAATCGCCAATTAGACGAGTTGCTTCTTTATAATAGTGCACTAACACGCATTCTTCGATGATCTGTGGTAATCTTTAAACGCTATATTTCCACAGATTATAAATTAACGGTTAAGTTAAATATTAATTGAAATAAATTAAATAACCATACATTTTAATCATCAACTCCATTGTTATCCCGTTATGTGCGGGCAGGTTTACGTCTTCCAGAAAAGTCTGACATGAGTCATTTCATTCGTCACTCCCTTTCTTAATCTTGTCAACTATCACACCATCCATCTCTTTCTACCCCTACCGATCTAACAAGGATAGTAATATTAATGGTAACAAATTATGGGCAATTAATATTGCATTGTAAATATCTTATTTATCCGTTACTTTTAATCGAACTATTGCAATGATTGAACTATAGTTTTTTTCAGGCATGTGTAGATAATTTTTGACACATTTCTATTGCGACATATTTTCGTCTCTCTCATTTACTTTGAATGAAAAGAGACCACAATACGTCGCAATACAAGTGTAAGTAAAGTTTAACGTTATGATCTTTAACATTGCTAGTGATGTGCTTTGGTTTAATAACTCAAAATCTTAAAAGATACCTTCCAGATCTACATGTAAATGTATTTATACGCTTATTAATTTAATTCTTCAAAGATATGTAAAATCATAAATTTTTACCATAAAGATTACAACAAAGGTAGCTATACCATGTCATTACAACACTTTACATCGTAGTGATATAATAAGGAATTACGTCAGCAGTTATCGAATTTGTTTTTAACAAATATCGATAAACAATCTCCTCTCTACATTATCTTATGTCTCTTTCTTTTAGATACATTATATGATGTAGCTATCTCTTTCGTTACAGATAAGTTATCTGTATTTGTAGCAATGAATTTAAAACGATTACCAGTTCATAGTTATTAATAACATAATATGGAAAGAGATTAATTTACTTAGTTGAAAGATTATTTAATAATACTTTTCTAAAGATTATATCGAATTAATTTGCTTCGTATTATTTTTTATCTTGGTTTTATAAATGCATAATCATTTTTTAATCTAAGATTTGCATTTTTGCGCAACATATTTTCCTTTTACATTAAATTTGAAAACTAAAATATTTGTAGGAAGCATTTGTTACGTTGTATCTATTTTCCGCTTGAAACAAAATAATAAAGCTGTCGGTAAAAAAATAACTCCCATCAATGTTTATTGAAAGAGATCAGACGCGCGGAGTGGATGCGAAATATTTACAGATTTGAATTTCATTGAACAAGATTTCATTCAAACAATAAATTTTGGTACATACTGTATCATTGTTTAGACAGGTACATACATACATTACATAGAGAACATATCAGTTTATAAAAGTAATCAATTCTCCAGCTCCAAAAATAGTGATGCGAAACGATTTAGTATTTAGCGCCCGTAGCGGCTCGCGCTCGCGCGATTGTCTCATGTCAAAATCCACATTCATTTACATTAAATAAAGCCATTACCAACATTGTCACAGCTCAGAAGATGCGTTCTGAATATTTACTATCTAAGATTCTCTTTAAATGCCCCCATGTGGTTTATATTATGAAAAACTCTTCACGTTTTATGCAAATACTGGCAGCTCCAAGCGAAAACTAGAAAGTTTACTCACACACGCGCGACGTACACACACATACATGTCTAAGTGTTGGTACTGGCTGCATTATTGAAATTCTGATATTAATTATTAATCTAAAATAAAAAAATAAAAGAATAAAAATCTCACCGTCTCCGATTCTTCGATAAGTCCGGACTCCCACAACATTTTTTCTCGTATTTCGTACAACAGTTCAACAAGTCACTTCAGTCAAAACTTAACTTTCAATAAGAAGTATTCGTGTCAACAGATATGTCCATTTCCGCGGGCCGTTTGTTTATAAGGATATATTGCATCCCGTGATATTTGTTTATAAATTGAAAGGGGTTTTATCTATACCCCCGTTGGACGCGACTGGTGCGGTAGCGATGTGTTGAAGCTATGAGCGCGGGCGCAGGCCGGCGGGCGTCGGCGACAATCCGAACATGGCCGAAGTGGCCCGACAGCGCCGACCTACTTTGCTCTACTTCGTCGTAGCGCAGTGGTCGAGCGCAGATTTTTTCCACCATTTTCCGATGAAACGCTACTTGTCTTTGCAAACCGTAACAAAAACGTTCCAACAGTTTCCCTAGCCCTAACTTACTTTTTATGTGCATTTTATTTTACTTTTTTTATTTTCCTACTCAACGTAATTTTTTGTCGTTTTTTATGAAGATCATAAGTTACATACCTAAATAAAATACAACTTTACGCTTTCGTAGTTTTTTACTAACCTACATTAAATATTTCATTAATTTTTTTGTAGGATTTTATATCATTGTCGTCTTCAAAATATTTAGATTTGTAAAATTTATAACTATGGGCACATTCGTATTCACTAATGCCAGTAATATATAATAATACAAAAAATTACGATACGATTTTTTTGCAACTATTACATAAACGAATAAAAACAGTCAAGTTAGCTTAAAGTTATATAAATCTCATAAAATGAATTTAGAATAACCATGTAATAAATCTTTAATTATAGGATGAGGATATACATTTGCTGCCATGCTACTGCATAAAGACATCCCGAAGCATCGGCCAGTTAGAAGGGTAAGGACAAGTGAGCGCGTCTCATCGGACTTTCAAAAAACTATATTATATCCTGCAACATGTTTCAGTTTTATTCCGTTACTAGCTGTCGCCTGTGACTGTGTCCTCGTGGATATACAAACAGATTTAGAACTTAGACGAGAACGTTTTACAATATCAAAATTTAAGCAAAAAATTCGTTATTTGATATTTTGGATCTTTTCATGAGTGAAAATATTCACTTCATTAATTCGTGTTTTATATTTTAAAATGCTAATGTATTATATTATTTTTCCAGTCTTTTCGATCGGTTTGCATCGACCTTGACCACGAATTAAATGCACGTTTATTTTTATATTTATCACTTTTAAAGATATTCAGATTTTTATCACAATTGGAACTTGAATTCGATAGAATCGTAGTCTACTCACCAAAGACACTGCAGATATATCTTAGTAATATTAAAACGCGAATGTTTAAATAAATGGAAGGATGTTGTAAGGTATCTCCAAAATGGCTCAGAGGATCTCTGAAATTTTGCATAAATATTTTTAGACATTATTAATTACAATCCTTTGGTGCGAAGAACGTGCTTTCGTTACAAAGTCTAGTGTCAGGATGAATCTGACGGGACGTCAACATTTTAGTACGGCCAGTGTTGAGTCAATACACTGGCTAGTTTCTGGATTTTCTTCCTAACAATATAGAACTGTATATTGTAGTGTAAAACTATAACTGTACTACTGTATAGGTCTGAAAAACACATAGGCGACTATACAGTTCTTTTTTTATTTACGAGAGGTTGGAGTATGGGGCGGCAGCTAGCTTAGTATATTTTAAAGTGATATCATACATAACACACACAACATAAGTGCGTTGGTAGCTCAGTGGTCAAGCACTTGACTTGCAATCTCCAGGTCCTGAGTTCGAATCCCGACGTGTACTAATGTGTTTTTCGATTTCCGATTTACATATGTACATTTATCCGACGTTCTTACGGTGAAGGAAAACATCGTGATACAACCTGCACATATCTGAGAAGAAATTCAAAGATATGTGTGAAGTCAACCAACCCGCACTTGGCCAGCGTGGTTGAATATGGCCTAATCACCCTTAACTTAGGGTAGGCTGCGAACCCCTCGGTGGGGACGTATAGTAAGATGATGATGATGATATCACTCATTTTACATATGATAATTTAATTTGTTAATTTCTTGTATAGACTTTAACAAAGCTGAACAATAAGTAAAGGTAATAATTATAGGCCCACATGAAAAACTGGAAAAGTATCAGTATGTCGCAGTCCACAAATTTGAAACCCTCTTCCTTTTCATCCAATAAAAAATAAGTGTGAAGGCCCCCGATGGGCTCGAAACTAGTCGGTGCCGCCACCGGACGAATATATAATACGTGAGTGTTTAGCCGTTTTTATATTAGTTTAAAAAATAAGTTAAGAAAAGGTAAGGTATCTTTTTCTAAAAACATTCATCACATCTACAGCACCTAATATAAAAACCCATCCGGGACTCAACTACATTTGCGTTATGACTAACTAAAATATATTCTATTTATAGTAAGGTCTAAAGTTTATACAAAGTATCCAAGTCCTGTTTACGATATGACGAAGGAGAATTCAGCTTTTTTGTTCCATCTGCAAAGTTCATTGCGTATATTTGAATGACGCGATCACGTACGAAGATGATTTTATGACGTTACTATAAAATTAAACAATACCATATTTCAAACATAAGATACATAAATTCCTGAAACTGAGTTTCATTTCTAATAAATTAAATTAAAAAAAATAGTAATTTGGCCAAAGAAGTACGAAACATAACAGCGTGTTTCCAAAGTAACACTGCAGAAAAATATTGTCTGCTCCTTTACTCGTTTAGGAAAAATGGTTTGTAAACAGGTTTTACAGAAGTAGAAATTATAGATTAAGCGTAGGAAGTAATTATTAATTATGACCTTCATATGTACTTATTGGAATCTATAACTAAATTGATTATTTTTCCTGTCTAATTTGACAACACTACAAGCATGGCTTACAATCTTTGTTCTACGAATTTGTACCAGAGCTTTTGCGTATGAATGTGTGTCATTTGATATTTAAACTAAACTTTATAACAGTTATAAACAAATGTTACAATAAAAAATATTCAAATTTCAAGGTGTACGTCTTTTTCCGTGAAGTGTACACTGCACCGCAAAATAAATTGGAACATATGCGTCAATTAACATTAAAAAATTTAACAACATTAAAAAAAAACTTGTATGATAACACGAAGTACTTTTTACATTATTCTAATCCATTCCCCGCGACACTATCCGCGCGGAATTAAAAAATATCTGTCTCTCATCTGTCCTAAATTTCGTCAAGATTCATTGAGCCGTTCCGATACTTTGTGACAAACATCTAATCATCCAAACATACGCATTAATAATATTCTTCTTCTTATCAGCCATGAGACGCCCACTACTGGGCATAGGCCTCCCCCAAAGATCGCCACGATGACCGGTCTGGTGCCAACTGCATTTGCGGGAAGCCTGGCCACGCTGCGTCGACCTGTCCGTGGCCGCCACTCTAGCACTTTGCAGCCCCATCGACCGTCCATTCTGCGGGCAATATAGCCGAGCCATCGCCACTTAAGATTTACAATCTTTCTTAATAATAAACTGATATATAAACACGGCTAATCACTCACGTATATTCGTGCGGTGGCGGCACCGACTAGTTTCGAGCCCATCGGTGGCCCTTCATCAGGATGAGTGGTACTGGTATTATTTCGCGGACGCGGCCCGTCGCTCACTCTTCGTCTTAATAATGTTAGTAAACCAATAAAATGTTTACAAATGGGTTACAATACACATAAAGCGATATTTACAGAAATATAAATTACTTTATAAACAACGTATTTTTATATTTTGGGTAAACAAGCTCTTTACTTTCAAGAATTATTCATTACTCGATGTAATAATTGGTGAAAGGACATTTGAGTCTTTACAACTCAAGGACGTCTGAACAGATTTGCACTGATACTTTCACTTCCAATCTGCTTACGTATTTCCCTAGAAATAATAAATAGTACATCGAAGTACTATAAGCCATATACTTAAAAAGTAAGAGTCTGTTCTATCGATACAAACTCGATTACACTTATTATGTAACTTGTTCCTATTCGACTTCCAATGGTAATATCAATGAATACTTAAACACGGACTGTTCAATTCTATAGAAATATATATAAAAATATCGTACTAGGAAAAGCCCAGATCATATTAGAATAAACTAAAGATTGTAATGCCCGAAGGCGTTTCGTACTAATTTTACAGTGGGTTTCCATTGAAGAAACAATTGTATTATACAAAAATATATTGTTTTTGTTCAAGGAGAAAATGCAAGATCACGTGGATTGTAGTTTATTTATCTATACATACACACTTTCCAATACAATTAATAAAATTGGAATGTCTCTAATATCCGAAAATTATAGATATTTTGTAAACTTAATGTATTATTTGCGTTACAATTACATTGAAAATCTATTTTTTTATTTTTGTGTCTGTCTATCTGTCTGCAAGTCTGTGTCTGTTCAAAGTAAAATCCAAAACGGCTCCACCGATTTTTACTAGAAGACAGCTGATGTACATGGGAGTATCTGAGGCCATTTTTTTATTCTTAACTGACAAAGTCGCGGGAAACAGCTAGTAAAATGTTAATCATTGCTAGAATCCGTTCAAATGATTATATCAAGTACGTGACCGCACATGCGGATCTGTTTGGGTAATTCTTCTATTAACTAAACATTAATAACATACCGAGAAAATAGTTGGGATTGTTAAAAAAAAGTCAATAGGTAAGTAACTTTTGTGGTCTCGTTTGCGATTGTTCATTAAAATTAATGACAAATACTGAATGATAAATAACATGTTAATGGCGGATTAAATACTTTAATTACCGCTTAGTAACGTTTTAAAATATAATTTTTTCATTTGAGTAAAAAGTTACTAAACGGATGTTCAAAAAAATCTATCATCTTAAAAACTTAGATTAAAAATTATAAGTTTTTTATGAATCTTAAAATGTCTTATCTATCTAACTTTTAATATCTAAAGGGGTAGATAGATTAACAGAAAAGACTAATGCATGTCTATCACAAAATAACAACATAGTTCACGCAGTAGAACATGGACCAATATAACTTTAACTTCCGCCTTTTGTACCGCTAAAGTTTAATGCTAGGGCGAGATAAAAATGATTCATTGAATTTACAAACCTCATGTCGTGACATTTAATAACTTGATTTATTTATTTTATAACTTACTTCTAGCAAATCTCACTTACACTGTCACTTTTATGAATTAATTAATAATAGCGGTTTTTATTACTTAATCTTACTAATATTATAAATGCGAATGTTTCAATGGATGTTTGTAAGAAGATATGTCCAGAACGGCCGTATGGATCTCACTGAAATTTGGCATAGATGTAGAACATAGCCTGGGAGAACAGATAGGCTTCTAAATAAGTTTATTTTCAATACCGAGCGGACGAAGTCGCGGGTGACAGCTAGTAAGATAAATATTTCTAGAATTCTCTTATCACAATTTCAAAAACAAGAAGATAATTAACAATTCGAACAATTTTATAAAACATTAATTAAAAAGTTACATTTACAATTCAATACAACATAGTACTGGTATATTTTCTTTTACTTATTATTGAATTATTTATTCTTGTTTTAGAATCAAGTTATGTAGATGAAATAGTGATTAATTTAATAAAAGCAGACGCAAGAACATTGTCGGCTATCATTATGTTAAACGGGTTTTATATATTATTTTTGGTTTGTTTTTATTTAAATTTGCTTTCACAGATCATATTTTAATTAATTAAGGAACTTATTCTTGACACTTAAAAACGCCTTTCAAAAATAAAAAGCAATATTGAAATGTTGAAATTTCTTGTAATAAATGTCAAATATCTTAAGCAAAGTTTAATCTTTGCACACTTCATATAAACAGTCACACTATTGGCATTGTCAAACAAAATTAACTTGGACATACTCTATTAATAAAATTATTGGACAAATAGACAAGTAAGGACTACAAAAAAGTGTTTTTCGATCTTGAATAGATATTGTCGCATGGCCAAGGTCGTTTGACAAAAAACTTGTTAGAATCAAAGCACGAATCATTATGAAAAATTACTCTTTATATTTTAATACGACAAATAACTAAAGGCAAGTCATTTAACCGGTACAGATATGTTAAGATTTTATCTAAACTTGTTTTAACTGGATCACAACTACCTTCAGGTGTCAGAATAATTTGTTTTGAAAAATTAAAACTCGATAAGAAATGACAATCTTTGTGAGCGCCTAACGATTTATCATCACATACTAAAAATATTTGTTTGTCTTTTTCATACTATTATTAACTCGGATATTGCAAAAATAATGTAAGGCATGAAAATACGTATTAGTAAATATAATTTACAGTACAGTTGATTATCGCGACTACAGATATTTTGGTAAAATAAATGCCTTCTTAAAAATTACAGCAATGTTTCAATCTGTAATAAATGCTAATCAAAAAATGCTAATACAAAGCTGACACACCTACTTTGTATTAACATTAGCAGAAGAATCTGACTTATATTTTGTCCAAAATAATCCTTTAAAGTGTAATGCATCTGATAAGTGAGTTGTTTCTTTTCCAATGCAGTTGTTTACAACATGATTGTGTACTCTAAACTTGTAACATTTAACTAGACGTTACCTGAATAATTGTTTTCAGCCAGTTACACATTAAGACATAAATTAAAAAAGAATGAATATAAAATATTTTTAATCCTAAAAGCACTTTATGTTATGGATTTATTGACAGTATTTAATTCAAAAAAAGATACAAAACTTCGACAAGTTAAACTCAATAAAACATATTGGCTCATTATAAATTAGTTTATTTGATGTTATCTTTATATATACAAAAATATACGCACTTAAAATATTTTAGAAGATATAAAGCGGTTACAATTATTGGTAACTTGCTTTTTTAAATTTCGAACAATTTCTTCTTAAAATTAATATAATACAAATAAAGTAAACAAGGATTTTATCGAACCAATCGTTACATTATTCACAATTAAGTAAAGGCAGTGAAAAGGCTAGGTCTTTTTAAGTTAAATAACTAATTTCAAAATTTCTTTCGTTTAAGGTTATACAACTTTTAGCTATTTAAATTTCGTCAATAAATTCAGTGTATTTAAAATATAATTCCAACTTTATTGGATTTTACTTATAAGTTGGGTTTTATTTAATTTATTTTGTATTGAAAGTTAATTTTCTTGATAAACCAATTAATCCTTGCACAAGAGAGCGTAATAAAATAAAAAGACAATTATAAAAATTATCATAAAACTAAATAAATAAAAGCTGCAGACAGAAAAGGCTTGAAAATAAGAACGTGCATAAATGGCACATGGATTTAGACTTAAGATTAATGACATTACTTACAACTAACACGCTTAATCAAGCAATGAAATAATTTGAGACAACTGAACTATAACCTATATATTTACAAAGTGTAAATCAATTCAGGAAAGGTTATAAGTAATCAGATTTAGAGAAAATGAGCAAGAACCAACACCGTCAAATATTGTAAAATATCTTGTCTTAGTTTACATTGAAAAAAATAATCGTTCGATATTATCGTAGATTTTCGAAGGTTTCGATAGAACGACGCTCAAAGTCGAAAAGAATTTTAACAAAAGTAGTGAATAAGCAATTTCTTGTATCAAACCTACCACCACTAAATAAGTTGAAGAAAATCTTGACTAAGAAAAAAGCTTCTAACTTAAGAATTTATACCACAACAGATATAGAAATTGGAATAAGCATAAGTATAAGATTTCTTTACTTATTTAACTTAACAACCCTTTAAACATACACCAGAGAGAGAAAAATAATATTTACATAACAAATTAAATATTTTATATCTATCATCACATTCTTTGTCAGTACCTATTTTGGACAATTTGCTATTGATATTTTCATTCTATTTACACTCCATTGAATAACTTATTACTATTTTAATATCCAGATTCACAATATAACACCTCATTTGCCTTCCATTAAACATAAGACCGCATGATCTAAGGGACTATTTACATGACCATTTCAAACACATAGTGCGTACTATACTTTCGGAAAAGTTTGCAGTCCATTATAACGACCGAATGTCAAGTTTAACCGGATCCGTTTGTGTAAACGTCAGTTGCCGCCTTTTGACCTGCTCGTATGACATTTTGTACAGTCTGCGCCGCGCCCTGGAATATGAAACAGATATATTACATTAGATAATCATTATTGCTCTATGCAGGGGGACACCGGTGTGTTCAACAAGAGATCCCGGATCAAGTGGACCTAGAGGATGGCCACCGAGGAGGTTTTATTGGGTAAAATTCCACTAAAGCTTGTGTCCCCGAAGGAGCAAATCTTTGTTATAATTTCCCCCGATACCAAAAAATAGGTAGCCATTACTATATACCATTTCGCAGTATCTTGATCTGTGGAACATAACACAAAGAATAACAGCTAACAGTTATTTTAAATATTTATTATGTTTTAGTTGTTTTATGTTTTAGTCGTTATTCTGATCTTATTAGAATGATGTAATGAAAACCTACGTTTAATTTAGATATTGTTGAAAATCGAACATTCAAAACTCCTTCCTTGTATGCTGACATTATTCACCTACTGCGCAATTGTTATTACAATACAGATGTTATGCAATTTACCTGTATCGCCGCTCCAAGGAACTGAGAGAAAGCTCTAGTGACGTTAATGGCAGCAGAGACAAGTTGCCCCCGGCCCGGGGCTTGCTCAGCTGCGACTGCGCGCGGTGGCTCCAGAGGTATCTATTATACGTGAAGTGAGTACAGTTACATGCTAAATAATAATATAAATTATTTTAATATATAATTAATATGAAATTGTAGATATAAAAAAGCTTTAGTGATATGTTATTCAAAGCGCGATTGTACAGTGCCAAAATATATTTATAAGGGTCAAACACCATATGGTTTGTGAAGTGAAAAATGTTAGCGGGAAAGTGACTTAAGTTATTATATATTTGTCGAATGTAAATGCTTGATTGAGATTTATAGACCTTTATACAACCCTTTTAATTTTATCGATATAATTTTAACTTAGCTATTTTTTTACTTCGTTATATTTTAAATAAATTACAATCTTTTATGTTTTATTTACACTATTTTCGCTGCTGTACATTTATAAAGTTACATAATATTGTATAGAATTTTACGTACGTAAACCTATTAAACTTACTCTAATTTTTAAAAAATAAATATTAATCAAGTGGCTGTAAATCTGATCTTATAAATATAACATAATTTTTCACTTCTATAAAAATATTCTACTAAGCAACTAATTATTAATAGTTAAGTTTTAAGTTAAATTAACATAATTACAAGTTACTCACCAATGTTTACACCTTTACCCCATACTAACTTTAAAGTTATCACTGACCTACTATTATTTACAAAAACTACAAAAATAACACGATAAAATTAGAAATGGGGTGGTAACGACTGAAAAAAAAGTTAAAACAATTTTTTGTACAGGGATAATCATTTTCTTTTTATATTTAAAATAATTGTTTATTTTTATATACAAATATATTTATGAGGTTAGTACTACATTCAATGGAGTTATTAATCATTAGAAAAAGAAGAAAATTAATTAAATTAATTCTCAAAAATATCTTTTATTTCAAATTTTTGTACAACATGCAACAAATATTAAGATAACTTAAAATTGAAACATGTTTCATCATTTAAATCAGAAATATATAAATGTATTATTTTTTTTTTAAATAAATGTTTTAATATTTTCAATAAATTAATTTTGATGTACAATAGTTTTATAATTTTACAGAAATTAATTTACAAAAGATAGGACAAACTTTGATATCACGTAGGATAAGGTTAGCGTCATTTAATTTTTATATACAATTTATTTACATTTTTAATTAGTAATAACCTTTAAATTGTGATATACATCAGTAAAATTTTATTTACACATGCCAAATATTTGTATTATTCTAAACTGCCTAATAAAATTATTCTAAACTTACTATATTATAATAAATAAATTGTATTTTTTTGTTTAAAATAACGAAATTGAATACAATACAAACACAACATTTATATAAGATGATTCCGACAACGATAGATTATTTTTAAATCTTTACTGTTATTAAAACATGTAATAATTATTTAATATTTAAAAAAATATATTTTTAGCGATAAGATTTGCTTGTAAAGTAAATTATTAAATCTGTATAAAGCATTTTTATAACCATAACTTTACTAAATAGGATTGAAAGAAATATTTCTTCAGCATAACAAACTAAATGACATAAAATTACATACAAAAAGTTAAAAAAAAATACTTATTGCTATGTATCAATTGTATTTTATCTAACACCAAAAATATCCATCACCTTATCCCCACTCACATAATTTAAGTAAAAGAGAGGAGAAACCCACTCGATTGGACGCCGGTCTATCATCAGCGTTTCCGACGAATGGTCCGGAGCCAAACCAGTTGACCCTCGAAGGAGCCGGCGTTGCGGCCGCCGTGGGCCGGGGCGCAGGCGCGTGCGCGGGCGCAGGTGCGGGCCTCCTGTTGTTTGTCCTGGAGCCACCCGCGCCCCCCGCACCCGCTGCTCCTGCAGCACTCCCTGCGCCTCCAGTGCCCGGCGCCGTGTCCCGCCACTGCTGCCAGAGCCAGGCTAGGCCATCCAGGATGGGCCGCCGCGGCGCCGGGGGCGGCGGCGGAGGAGTCGTCGTACGCCTAGCCTTCGGCGTCACTACCACTTGGTTCAGTAAAGCCTACGAGGTTATAGTTAGGTCTAAAATTTGTTCCTAAACACATGTAATGAACGCAAAAATCAATGGCAAATAATAAAAAAAATTGTTACAGACGATGAAGAGTTAAAAGACAGAACAATGGATTGTGAAAAGATATATGAAACTTTTTAATTAAATGATAATGTTAAAATGAGTTTGGTTAAAATTTACCTTCAGATGTTTAAATCCAATGTTTTTACCCGTTTGGTTTTATATAGCGAAAAGAAAGAGATGTTAGAAAAGAAAAGAAAAAACTAACAGCGAGTCGAACTTGTTCATCCAAAGAACTTGCCGTGGTTGGACCGAATCCTTGCTCTTTAAGTAATGCCGCAAGAAGAGCGTCATTGCTGTTTCCGTATTCAGTACTCAGGGAGACAGATGATTTTGTAGCTTCTGATACCATAGCTGTAGGTTTTGCTTTTTGTATTAACTTTTGAAGAGCTTCATCGGAAGATTGACCTAGAAAGATGTGAGTAAAACTACTTTTTGTATAATTTACTTTATAATTTGACTCTGGAGAAGTGAATATAGCGACCGATCTTAAAAATCTCTTATGTGATATTTGTATTTTGTTTCATTTATAACTTTACATTACCTTGAATTACCAGAGAATGATATAATTGATAAAAATTGTCGTACCTGTTATAGCAATTTTATTCCTCTGTGTCGTTGTTTCTTGTGCGTCTTTTAGCTTTATTAATGTTTGTAATAATTGCGCATCATCTTGAACGTTTTTTAATTCATCTTTAACCGCTATTTTTACTCCAAATGGTTTTGTTGTTGGTTTTAACGATGCCATAACGCTGGCTTGATTATCCTTGTTGGGCTTCTGCGTCAAAGAATCAAAAGGTTCATTTAACGGAGATGGTGAGGCAAGGAGGTTTGAAAGTAATTTTAAATCTTCTTCAATAACAGAAGAACCTTTCGGACTTACATTTACGCTTGGTAATGTTGGTATGTTAAACTTCGATGGATCTTGTCCTGTTGCCTTTAATAATGCTTGTAAAAGTTTCGTATCTTCTTCAAATTGTTTAATATCATCTTCAATAGACGGTGTACTTTGCGTGGAAACTGGAGGAGTATATACAGTAGTTGTAGTCATTGTGGTGGTGGTGGTGGTGGTGGTCGGTCTAGTTGTGCGAACGGAATTTACAACATTTGGAGTGGAAGAACTTTGTAGCTCGTTCAAGCTTCTCTCTACAGCCAGAGCTATAACACGGTTTGCGAGGGCAGCTTCCGGGTCATCGCTATTATTCGTATTTAATACAGTTTTCTGAAAATAAAAATTAAGATCCAAGATAATACTTTGGAGGTAAACAAATTATTTTATAAATTATTTCATTTATCTTACTATTATTGTAAATGCGAATGTTTCGATGGATTGATGGATTAGTGGATGGATGGATGTTTAAAGATATCTCCAGAACGGCTAAACTGATCTTGATGAAATTTACCAAGAATATAGAACATTATATGGAAGAACACATAGGCTACTTATTAAGCTTTTTTTAATTGCGGTAGGAATCGTGGGCGACAGCTAGTCTGATGTATGTATGTTTCTCTTACCAGGTTATTTAGAAATGCTAAATCTTCCTCTACAGAAAAAGTTGATGTACTTGGTACTTCAGTAGTAACTTGCGCTAAGCTTGGAGCTCGTCTAGCACTTAAAGTTGAAAATATTTCGGGAGGTGTGGTAGTTGTTGTAAATCTTCGCTGCACAGGTCGATATGTGGTTGAAATACCAATATCTTCTTTTACAGTACTTTGTTGTTCCTGTAAAGTAGACAATGTAGAAACAGTTTGCGGTGCATTAGTCTGCACCGTAGTTTTTTCTGTTGGTTGAATTGTGGTATAAATTGGACGAATATTCATTGGAGTTGTAGGATTAGATTCAATAGATGTTGTCAAAGGATTTGAAGCAACCCGCACATTAGAAGTTATTCCAGATATAACGGGCATATTTATAGTATCAACAGTCTGGCCGGTGGCTTTTAATAATGCTTGTAGTAATAGAGTGTCTTCTTGAATTTTTTTCAAATCTTCGGCTATGGAAGTTGTTGATTTTATTACAGGGGTTGTTGTAGGCGGAGATGCCTGAGTAGTAGTTGTAATCATAGTAGTGGTTGTAGGTGTGTTTGTTGTCGTTGCACCCAAAGTTGGTTTTATGTCATCGATACTTGGAATATTAAAATCTGCTGGATCTCGACCAGTAGCTTGTAAAAGTGCTTTCAAAAATTTCGTGTCTTCTTCAAATTGACGAATTTCGTCTTGTATTGAGCGAACAGTGGTAGTTTGTGGTGACTTTTGTTTATCCTTTACATTATCCTTGGCGCCTAATAACAATGCTTGTAATAATTTCATTTGATCGGTGTCTTGAGATGAAGATGTCTTTGTATTTGTTGACAAAATTGATTGCAGCATTTGAAGTACATTTGCATTTTCCTGATTTTTATTATTGTTACTTTGTATATCAGCTGTTGTAGTTCTCGTCATTTCTGTTGTTGGGAACATAGAATTATTTGGGACTGGTACTGATTCAGTGGTGATTGGAATATTTGTAAACAGAGGCATACTTGTAGTTGTTAAAGTAGTCAGCATTTCTGGTATATATCTTTCCGTTGTTGGTTCCAATGTAGTTATTACATTTTTCGCTGTTGTCGTTATCGTTTTTGTATTTTCTACACTGTTAAAGGTTGTTCTTAAATTGGAAGTTGTACTTTCTATCATAGGTTGAACTGTTGTTATTGGATTCGTTGTAAGAGTTGTCATTGTCGACTGAATGTTGTTAGAAAGTGTTAAAACATCAGGGGTTTCGACAGTAGGTTGAGCGGTTGTTGTTAATTCATCAGCATTTTTTAAGCTTATTTGAATTTCTGGTGTTGGTGAATTAATTTCCATCATTGAAATTGGTGTCACGATTTGTACTTCTTTTTCGTTGTTTGGTTTCACAGGTGCTTTAGTCGAAGCAAGTGTTAAGACATTTGTTTCTTGTGGAGGAACAGTGATTTCGTCAATTGGTATAAATTTGAATACAGTGTTTCCTTGGCCATCGTTAGGTTTTTCGGTTCTGATTTGTTTAGTCTGCAAGTCATCACAAAAACTATTAATTAAAAATCGAATTTTGAAATGTTTTTCATTAAAATACCCGTAATCTCAATATAATTCAGTAGAACTAATCCTTCACCACTTACCTTCATTAAATAACATTAAAAAATATAGTAAAATGATAACTCGTCATGCATGAAGTTATAAATAGCATATTTTTATTTTGATATTCTTTACACTCTAACTACCTTTAAAAGAATTAAAATAATGAGCAAGGATATGAAAAATTATGTGTGAACTACATGACTTATTTAATTATTATACCTCCGGATCGATATCCAGTGTTAATATTCTTGGTTCAGGAGTAGAGTTTTTCATTGATGATATAACCATTTCCTCTTTAGTGGCTGAAGATAAACTATTAAGCAGAATCTCATGAATAGAAGGTAGCATTGTAGTAGTGCGTAAATTCAAAACATGCGAGGCAGTGCTTTTTTCAGCAGACGGCTTAATAGTGGCAGTAGTTATGCCCAAGGAACTGCTATCGTTTAAATTAAGTGCCGATGAAGATATCTGCAATTACGAAATAAATGTTACGCTTTGCTAGGTTAATTGATTTTTAAGCGTTAGGGTGATACAGTGTTTTGCCCATTATCAATAAAAGCTCAAAGTTCTTTGTAAGACCCTCGAAAAGTGCCAAAGCTCCAAGCGTTGCTTTTAAGCTAAACAATTTAAAAACAATACCGTTATTTGCTGGTTATTTACAGTGTCGGTGGTTAATCGGTTTTCCGTTTCGTTATTTGTGTCGGTGGATGTCTCAATATTAGTGGATACTCGGATGGGGTTAGACTGCGGTCTGACAATGGCCGGATTATTATGGATGGGGCTATATGGATTTCTTAAACTCCATGGACTGATTGGTAGTACGTCAATTTTTTGCATGACACGTGGTACTCTAGTTCCATTTGGAAATTTGCGTATTACTGTGTTATTTGGCAGCACACCATAAATAATGTACGGACTTGCCTCCGTTAACGTTTCCAGTACATTATCATTAGGATCTTTACGTACGACCGTATTATTAGGTAGTATTCCAAATATAACATAATCTTTTTTCGGAATGATTGGCTGACTGGCAACGTTGGTTTGCGAGGTGATAGTTATTTGATCATTTGATTTAATTTCATTTAGAAGTGTTACAGTGGTAGTTTCGATACCTGCTTGCGTCGTTGTCTCTAAAGTATTCTCAGTTGTTATTGCTCTTTCTGTTGTTGTTTCTGAATTAAACGTACGTGTCATTATATCGGCATTCACCTCATCACCTATTTCTGCATTTTCTGTAGTTGAAATTATATTTTCTTTTTCATTTTCAGCAATTGTTGTTTCATTTTCATCATTTGTAGTTTCCTTTACTGTAGTTTGATCGATAGCGTTAGCATTTGCACGTAAGAAAGCATCAGCAATTTCATTCGCAATTGTTGTAGCGGTTACTTCGGTAACATCTGTTGTGGAATCTACTTCGGTAGAGTCAGGGATAGTAGATAATAAAACATCACTTAGAATAGTCGTGGGTGGAGTTGTAAAGTCAGCTTCTGAGCGATCATTTAGGATATTGACTGATTCAGATAAGTCGGATGATGGATTAGATGTGGATGTAATTGGCGTGGTAACTACTAAGTCAGTCGTAATATCGGTATTTGGGTTAGACAAAGTCGTGGAGTCCATTGTATTGATAATCTGAGTCAATCGATTAGAAAGTGTAATATTATTAGATTGGTTAAATACTTCAGTCAATGGTCCATTGGCGATTTCATCATTGTGTTCCCTTATCAGTTGTTCAATCATTTTTAAAACCCGAGCTTTTTTGGAAAGAACCCATAATTGGAAACGAGTAATTTGGCTGGGGTCATCAATGTCAATACTATCAAAGTCCTCAGTTCCCACCCGATTGTCAAATTTGTTTATTAAAGATAATTTATTGGTATCACTCGAAATAGATTCACCAACCTTTAAGTTTGAGGAAAATGTAATGGGCAAAGGGTTGTTAGTGGGAACAACTGTTGGAGTTTTGGTAGTGTCTACGCTTAAATTATCTACAACGGCGGTGCTCATTTCTAAGCTAGACAAAGTAGCTGTATCTGGTATCTCAATATTTATGGGTAATAGATTAGTGGGGGTGGTAGTTAAAATAGTTGAAGATGAATCTAAAGTTTGTAATAAATTAATATTTATAGTATCGGTTGTAGCTACGATATCAGCTACTGTTGTCTCGCTTTCTGATAAAGGCAAAACTGTGCTCAAAACGGAACCACTTATGCTATTTACACTATCATTAATAATAGCGTCACTAAGCGGGGATTCAGTGGTACCTTGTGTAATATTTACATTTATGTCCTGTACATTTTGAAGGAAATTTTTACTGTCAATATTCAAATTTTCGTTAGTATTAATAACAACATTTCCTATGTCTATATTTTCAGTATCTTTGATATCCTCCAAACTGTAAGGCGTAGTATTAGGAATATTATCGAGATCATTTAGGGAAGGATTTTTATTTACAACTCTGGGAATAAGTGTTTTTAACAATTTCGCCATATCAACGGATAATCTAGATCTACTCTCTTCATCTAAATTTTCAATGATATCTTTTATATTATTCGATAACATGCTTGTTAGTTCTGATGAGACTAAATTGTTATTAGATAATATAAGATCGGATACAGTATTGTATACCATTTTTGAATTTTCAGTCGTACTCCATTTGGTTGTGGGTTCAGATGAAGTCATTGGTACGTCTGTCGGCCGTTCAGTATCTGAATATAAAACTTTAATGGCAAAGGGTCTCCTTGCGGATATAGGAGTAGTTGGAGTGGGAGTGGGGGTAGTTTGGGGATTATTCGTGGACATTGTATTCTCCTTGATATTTAGTGACGGTGAAACACTTTCCTCTACCGACAAGCGGTTAAGCACAGTAGGTGTAGTCTGATCAGTGTTTTGTACAGTAGTTATTGTAGTTAAACTCTCGGTTGACGTAGATGTGCCCTGACTCGCAAAGTCGCTGACACTATTTACATTATTGTTACTACTCACGCTATTGAGTGTTTGTTTAACAACACTATCAGTAAATGTTTGTTGCGGTACGTCTGTTGTTGTAGATATTTGAATTCTGGGTGTAGACGTAAGAATTTCAGCCAAAGCATCAAAAATAGATACAGTAACTGATGGTGAGTGATTTGAGGCTTCTACGTTCATAACATGTGATGGCTTTTCTAAACTCTCAGAAAGTCTTAAGTCTGCTGAAGACAATGCACTTCGTGTTTGAGTAAAAGAGATAGCGTTCATGTCTGGACCTAAAAGAATTTCTTCACCCACTTCCTGAAATAAGAAGAGATCTCACCCATAAAATAAGAAATAAATAAAAGTGTAAAGACATGAGGCGAAATTCATGTGATAGATACCCAAAGGTTTTAAGTGAAAAAACGTGCAATACCAAAGCCTCTTTATTACTTTTGGTGGGAAAATTATACAATATTGAATTAAATGTATTCATACATAAATTGAAAATAAACTTATCAAGTACCTACTTATTCATTTAAACATGGCGTAACAGAATTAAAAAGCTTAAAATGAATGAAAACCAAAACAAAATCACATTTCTTCATTGACATGCAACATGTAATAATCCCGAAAGTATTACTATAAGAAATTACTAAACTTGCACAGACATATTTATGGCAGTAAAAATATACGAAAAGATTTAATATTTGTGAGTTTGTAAACTCTCCTGTAGTTTTGTGTTAACTCGTTGACAAGTGGAGTTGAGTTTTTTAGGAAGCACCTTTTGTATAAAGAATACAGATGTAGTGAAAACGTTAGTATTTGTTAAGACTAGATCTAAATGATTCCATTAACCAGTTCAGATGATTGGTGAGTGAATGCCATCGTAGTAGCTTTCGGTCTTGATATTAATTCTGTTGTATCATCATTAAAATCATTGCCATCGAACCACTTCGGCTCCTTTATAGACTTTGTCAGTTGATGATCAGTCACGAAGAATTTCAGCCAAGCCTTTAGTAATGAAAATTTTCTAATTACTAATGACCACAAAAATTATATGAAAAACGATAGTTTCAAATTTTACCATACCGAATACATTACACACAGATATAAAAATGCCCATAAATTGAAAAAAAAACATAATAAGTTGCAAACAAATGAGAATGAGTCGATTAAACAAATTAACTCATTGAAATATTAAGATTTTTATGTATCTTCGTTTATATAGACAAATCCAGTTACGGGTGCCGTCAGACTTATTTAAACTTTTAAATGTGTGTTATTTTTACGTAAAATTACTACTACTAATTAATGTAATGAAACATTTTTTCATGAGCAGTTTTATACCATTATGTGGACCTAATATACTAAATGTTAGCATGAAATTTATGACAAGTTAATTTAGTTAAGTTTGGTGACAAACACAATTTTAAGAAAATATTGAAGTACTGAAAATACCAGTTTTACGGCCAATTTCATAAAGGGGCTTTGTCGTTTCAAAAGTTCTAGTTCTGTAAATAGATTTACTAAGTTGTGTAAATTTTGATATATTTTATGAAATATAATTTAAAATAGTTTTGAAATTGCATATGTTATTGTTGATATGTTTTACTTACAGTTGTTGTTGTGACTGTTGGTACTGTAGGTTTGTAAAATGCTTTGTCGAGATTTGAGGCTCTGTATTTTGAACTAAATCTGCTTTTTGGTTTTTCAGGATCGGAAGTAATCTGTAAATGTTGTATGATGGCAATAGCAAGGTACGTTTATCGTTGTGTATGTAGATATAAAGTTTCTACTTACGCCATTAGTAGAAGCTTCAGTCGTTTTCGAGAAAGTATCACTGTATTTCCGAAGCGCACGTTCCTTTGATTTCGATACAGGATTTATTGATGTAGATTCCACTTTTTCTTTAGATTTAAATATTTTACGTGTGTACTTTCTTGTTTGTATATTTCTTATTGCAGGTGTCGCCGCAGTAACTACATATTCATTTTTTTGTCGGTCACTCCCCAAACTCTGATCCTTATAATTAGCGTGATATTTTTGTGTAGTTGAGAAAACGTTTATTACTGGCATGTTTTCAGACTCCTCGGCATTAGTTACTAATTCATTTTCCAAGTTATTTTCTTGCGATTCCTTACTACTTACAGCTAACAAAAACTCATCTTTTGTATCGCTTTTACTTTCCTCAGACACAGTTTTGGTTGGTTTATTTACCATAGTGTATATTAATGGCATTTCAGCAGTATTTTCTGTTTTCTTGTCAACTTTAAAAGGATTATTTATGTCGGTATTAGGAGACTCCGTTGTTGTTATACCGTTCTTGGCATTATTTCTTAGACGTGAATAATAAGACGTTCTTGGCAATTTCACACTGTTGTTTGAGACACTGCTGCTCAAATTGTCCCTACCGTTATCATTAGTTACGGCTTCTGCAGGTTTATTGATATTGTTTGCGATTTTTTTTCTTGCGTAAAGTGGTCCCGATGCAGTTTGTGGTGATTGACCAGATTCAAATCTTTTAAACTTACGAGGACTTTCAGACGATTTGATATCTACCGGGCTAGATGTTGTTGTTCTTAATTTTCTAGTGAATTTGTATGGACTTTTTGCCAAATTTGGAGAACTAGTAGTAGTCGTAGTTCTTACATTTTCTGTTTTTAATTTTCGTGGTCGAACAGAATACGTACCTCGTAACTTATATTCTTGTGACTTGGGCTTGGGAGAATCTAAGGGAGATTCACTTAGTTTCTCGTCTCCATTTTTTATGTCATTTTCAGTTGTATTTAACTTACTGCGAAGCTGAAATGTTTACATTTAAAAAATCAGAATTTTCTATATTTTAATAACGTTAATGGAATTTTCACCGAAAAAATACAACACATGAAGATAACAAAGTACCGTGGCGACGAATGACTTATGAGCTAAAGATTTATTTGATACGATTGATTTACCCGTGTAATACTGTTTGATTCAATACTTGTGTTGGAAGGCAGTGAGGGTTTTGTGTTAGTGTTGATAGCTGTATGTGTTGCTTTCACTGATAAACTCTCGCTGGGTGGAGAGCTCACTTGTGTCTGAAATTGTAAATACGTTGTCTATAAAACATGATGCTAAATATGGCAAAAGAAGTTGCTAACAACTGACAGAAGTCAAGTTTCGACTAATTAAGGGTTCTTGAGGATAATAAACAAATAGAATGTTTAAGTCCATTATATTTCCATTGAATATTCATAAACAAAAATTACATTTCGCTAGTAATAACTACTCACCGAAGCATTTTTAGCTTGAATTAAAGCTTTAAAACTTGCTGGATAGTTATCATCGTCTCCAACCTCATCTGAAGTTTTCACTTTTGGAATAGTTGTTCCGTTTTCATTTCCTCTCGATAATGGTCGCCGAACAACTCTCATAGACTTAACTACCGACGACTTTGAAGAGTTGCGTTCTACGTTCCTCTGAACTTTTCTTTCAGTTGGAGCTAATGTTGTTGTCTTACTTTCGGGTTGTTTCTGCTGCTTTCTTGAAGTTTTAATGATTTCATTTGAAGCTGTTATCCCCTCACCTGTGAGATTAGTATCTGTTTCCGATAAACGTGTCCTATACCTTAATTTACGAGATTTTCTTGCATCTTCAGAAGATTTTTCGGAAGTCAAATTATTTTCAGATATGCTTAATACATTAGTTGCATCAGAACTAGCCATGTCGTCTAATTTGATATTTGTTTTTGTAATGACGCGCCCTCGTGTTCTAGCTGCTTTTGTATTTATTGGTGTTTCTACTTCTACACTTTTAGCTGTGGTGCTCCTCCTTTTAAATTGAACAGTAGTAATGTCTTCTTCTTTTGGAACTGTTCTAGTAAAATCATCGAAAGTGGAAGCTGTGATTTCACTTTTGAATTCATCAAGTGTTGGTGAAGAGAGTATAGTAACGGCTTCTGTGGTAGTTGTCTGAGCTCTTCTATTTACATCTCTCCTAATATCACTGGTGACTGATGAAGATGGTGCTGAAGTGGATACTGTAGTAGTAGTGTACTGTGCTCTTCGATTACTTTGTCGTGCCTTGTTATTTACAGTAGTGTCTCTACTTGGAAATGTCGTAACGGCTTTTTGATTTTCAGTAGGTCGGCTTCGTATCCTATTGGTCCTTCTTGAATCAAATCGCTCGTTCCTTCCATTTTCTGTTGGAGATTGTTCTGTGACGGCATTAGAAGTTAAAGATTCTGAGACCCTATTTCGGGATTTTGATCTGGTGATATCTCTGGGTGCAGGTGAAGCTGTTTCTTCACGTCTTCGGTAACTCCTGGACCGGAAGGTAGGCTGAGCATCATCAATCTTCTCCGTACTCGTTGAACCTCTCGAGTCGAAGTTTGAAAGTCGTCTGCTATTTCGGACACCTTCCACCTGAAATTACAATAAGAAATATTTGAACAAGTTGACAAGAAATAATATGATACTTGACACTAATCGACAAAATAGCCTATACGTAATGGAATTCAACCAACAATCCTAAGTAACAAAATATTATTTTATTCTGCGTCCGTAGCCTTAAGTTAATCAAACAAAGCTAACAAACTATGTTACTTATAACTTATGTTACTAAATAACATCGAGACAACCAGTCACTGGAACCAACAATCAGAAAATGTTATTTAACGTGATGTAATGAAAGTGTATTGTTTGGCCGAATTCAATATTTTACAGTAACCGGAGTTAATGACATTACGTTGTAACTTTCTACAACATTTTATCGAAATTATTTCATTTGCTATTAAGATGGATTATAAAATAATTAGCATTACCATTTACTATTGAATTTATTTAAGTTTTTAGTAAAGAATCTCTATTTATTGTACATAAGTGAATGCATTTCGTCTAATATTCTACTAAAATGAAATCTGTGAAGTATTTAGTAAGTATTTAGTTACAATTATTATTTTAAATTTAGGAAAATAACTCTTTATTACAATTCAAGACACGTGCGTCCTCTATTTGCTCGCAAGCTAAGGTATATTAACTCGATATTATTAAGCCATGTGTATTCGTGTGTATGTACATATGTCCTGCAGAATATTACACTTTTAGACCCTTCACTATAACTGAACCAGTTTCGTATTAAGCCATATAAAGACTCACATGATATAAGATAAGGATTTTGATTTATTCTTTGACTTAACAGCTTTAAGGGTTTAACTTAGACTAACTTTTACTATAAGAATTTAACTTCGATTAGTGATCGAACTACAGTATGTTCTATTTTTATAACAGATTTTTAGTTTGCGTAATTTATTTGCAACAAGTAATTTAGTATTTATTTTAAGAACAAAAAAGTGTTTTACGTATTATTAAGTACGTATTAGTAATATTTTTGAAATTGCAAAACCTAAATGTATTTTTAATCTTTATATATAATTCTTCTGTGCGTGTGTATGTCACTGAACTTCTCTCAAACGACTGGACCGATTTTGATGAAATGTTTTCTGTGTGTTCAAGGGATCTGGGAATGGTTTAGATTCACAATTTTGTCCGCTGGACAATGTTTTTTTAATTAATTTTTAATTTATTAGTAGTTGTTGATTTTGGAATGTTTTACATTGGATCCGACAGACGGCGCTACAATCGCAGTGTAAAATTTTAAATAATATTCGAATTAAAGACGTGTAGACAGGACAACGTCTGTCGGGTCCGCTAGTAATTGCATTGCATAATTGCATTCCTTTGTACAGTCGAGATTGAAATATAAAAAGTAAATCATTAAAATCAAAAGACTTATATCATTAATTGAAATGTAAAATTTCAGTCTTCGTTGATAGACGTGTCAATCAGGTTGCAAAACAATTGAATGTCAATTATAAAATTAAAAAGGTTGAAGTTTTTATCGACTAATGATTAGAAACAAACGAAGGTCAGTTTAAGACTTTAACCGATAAATATTAGACGTGTTGGTTTTAAAAAAGTATTGCTCAATTTTGTATGTTGTCTTTTTACAATTGAAAAACAAATGATGACAAAAAGATTGTTAATTATCTAATTACGGCAAATTCAGAAGGTCATTTTTTTAAATTGTATAAGTTCTAAAATTACGCATACGTTTAAATCAATATAAATCAAAAGTTTTATTATGTACGCTGCAGTCATGTTCACCTCAGCACAGAGAAACTTTGCCAATATAAAATTTATAGCAAAGCTGCCTTTCACAGACCCCTCACAGTCCGGTACCGCACTAACCTTTGTTTATGACTATTATTAAATGATTTACTACTACAAAACCATTTTTTTACTCTGTATAGTTTTGCACTTGTCATTATAATAAACAATTCGAATCATAATGTAAATATTGTTTATTTAAAAAACATTTATACATAAACAATAACAACCGTACAATTTTTTGTAAAACAAGATAACAATCCTGTAATTCAATTTTAAAAAAATGGTTTTGTCCATTTGTTTCAACAGTGGTAAATGATATAGAGTTTTCTAATACTTGTGATTATTTTGGTACTAAATTACTTGTTAATCGATATAATTGGAACGTGAAAAAAATAGAGTTAATAGAGTATCGAACTTTAGTGTCACACAAACATTACTTGACACGTTTCTTAATTTTACGGATTGTTAAACGAATGTCTGTCAGCCGTAGTTTCCCACTGTAGACATTTAAAAAAAAATACAAACGAATTGCTAACCTCCTTTTTTGAAGTCGGCTTAGAATAGGTTTTTGTCTCTGAATAAACTAAACATCATGATTATGTGTGTTCGACAGTTGATAAACCTGTAATATATTGTTAAAAATAATAATTATTTTATTGGCTTTGAAAAATCATTTCCGTGTATCAACAATATTTCCATAATTATGTAATTTAGAAAACTTAAATGTTAGAAGTCAGCTTTAATTAAGGCGATATTTATATGTCACAATGTCGCATAATAATTAAATGCATGCTATTTATATTAGATAATTTATTAATCATTTTGAAAGAAATAATTGGATTTTAGGCCAAGAATTTTAACTTAATTAATCTTTGTGTCAAAATACATGGTGGTCAACTGTTACACGTTACAACATAATATAGGTCGTCTTCTTCTTCTAGTGCCTCTTCAGTCTTGAAGGATGGCCGCTAACTTGGAGTATTTGGTTCTGTCAAGTGCAAGGCGAAACAGTTCCTCCGCTGAATTAATCCCCGTCCACTCTCTTTCTTACGTCTAGCGCGTCTTTTGCCTTGTATGAATATTTTTTGTCATATTTTTAAACATAGTCGTTTATCGCACTAATGTTATAAATGCGAATATTAAGATGAATCGATATTTGTTTGAAAGTATCTCCAGAACGGGTGCATGCATCTCGCTAAAATTTGGCATAGATGTAGAACACAGTATGGAAGAACAGATAGACTACTTATTATGTCTGTTTTTAATTCAGGGCGGATGAAGTTGCGGGCGACAACTTATCTCATATTAATCAAATAAAACAGTCACAGAAAAAATATATAACCACGGAGTGAACGTGCTTACATCGTTGATTACTCAAATAAGACATATTCGCAGCATTCACCATTTCCGTTTTTTTTTTCTTTTTGTAATTTTATAGCTTTTAAACACAGAGACCTTATGAATCAGCGTAAAAGAGAAGGTAAGGTTTCTGTTCGATTACAAGTTTCAGAGATCCGTGTGTGCAAGTGGAGCGCGTTGAGTAATAATAATGCAACTAGTTAAGGCTTGGTACGTGTTATAGAATAATAGTAATACTAGACGTATTTTTCGTATCTTAATTAATATAATAAAAACGAATGTTCTCCCTAACGGCTGCTTGGATCTCGCGGAAATTTTGCATAGATTTAGAAAATAGCCTGAAAGAACACATAGGCTACTTATTAAGTTTTTTTTTTAATTCTGCGCGAACGCAGTCGCGGGCGTAAGCTAGCCTTAGAATAGGGAACCAATGGAGCTGGAAGACTCAGCAACCGAACAATCGCAATAAAAATAAAAAATCAGAAAATCGTCTTTTTAATTGTTATAACGTACCGTATTAAAAGATGCCATTGTATATCACTTATTAAATGGGCACGTACATAAATAAAATGAATACATAACAGTATACTCCATAACTTTTGCTTGTAACTTAGACCACTTACGAAAATAATGCCGGCCAATAGCGTGATAGTGTTTTATGTAATAACTAAAACTAGACTAGACGAAGCGTTGACCGTTCTATAAACGATGCCTATAATTTTAAACTGAACCAAAATTAATCGTTATAAATATATAAAATAAGATAAATAACAATTTAAATGTCAATGTGTAGTTAGAAAATATCAGTAAATTTAGTTATGTAACATTTCCAAGACATGAAAATATATATTTTTTAATCTGTGGAATCTAAAGATGTCGCACAGCCACAGCCAAAAGTTTAATCAAATCTTTTATTAAAATTATCGAACTATTGAGCTTTACAAACAGTAATATCTTTAAAAGTCGAGTTGTCTTTTAGTCTGACAGAGATAAATTACGAAATTATACATTTCTATATTGTTACAATAATATTATTAAATTTATTAATTAGAATTATTTCTATATAAATGATACGTATGGTATTTTATTGCTTTTAAATATTTTAACACAGCTAATAAGGTACAGATAATGAGGCTACAAAATTCTTAATTTGACAAATATATTATTAATAGTATTTATAATTATTATTAACATAAATATATAAAGCTGATTATTTGTCATAATTAGAATTATTCTTAATGTTCTTAGTTTCTATATTTGGTAATCAAAACAAAAATAAAACTTTAATACCCCACTACTGTCTTTTGAAGACCCTTTACATTTGTTTAATATAATTTACTACTATTGTTTTCAACATTATAACTTATACCTGTCGCCCGCGACTCCGTCCGTGCGGAAATAAAAAAAAAATCTTAGTCGATGTGTTCATCTAGCATATGTCCTACATGTGTGCCAAATTTCATAAAAATTCATTGAGTCGTTCTGGAGATATGTACCTTCAAATATAAGTAAGATAACTGCAGTTGTCATCAATCAAAATTATTATAAGAGATGGATCAAGAACATTATTTCTACTTTCATATTCTAATCTTAAACGTTCTATAACACAATCTAAGACAGGTTTACATTCGTATCAACATGTTTGTGGTCATGAAGATATAATCGGTGCTCCATTTCGTGACCGTGTCATATTATATGTTATCGCAACGACTCACGCCATACAATATATGTTATACTATAATTGAGAAATCATAAATCAATCGACATATGTAATAAACATATCAAATGTAAGTATTATAGATAAATTCGTATATTTGATTTTAAAATAACTGCCGTACAAATCGTTTAGCGGGAACTTTAAGAACAATTCAATGTAGACTTCTTACTAACATTAT